ATTGCATCAACCATCACATCGTCCTGGCGCGCATGCTGTATGCGTCATCCTATTCGCAGCTCATCGTCCAACCCCTTTGTCCAATCCGATTCTGCTCCTTCTGCACCTGCTGCACCGTACTGCACCACCACTGTGCGAGGATGGATCCATCTTGTCTTGCTTGAGGATAGCGGAGAAGTAGACGAGAAGGCGAGAGTACGCCAGCTATAGCGCTGCTACATCAGGGCCCACTCGTGCGCCATTGTCCCACCTTTCGAGCCTGCTGCACAGGACAATTCCGATGCTGCCTTTGCCATCGGCTTGAAAAGCGGCCAAATGAAACGAGATGGACCGACTTGTTGCGCACTTTTCACCCACAATATCCTCAACTGGATTCATCCTGCCACAGCTTGAAGATCCTCAGAGGTTCCCACTGCTTTTCATAATTCCCTGGCCTCTTACTGTAGTGCAGCAAAGCATCGTCTGCTCCTTGCTCCTCATAGCTCTTTCCATTGTTTCTGTCTACATTTACAACTCGAGCAGCCACGGCATCTCCTGGACCGCTGTTTTGGCAGAGCTGGCCCGGTCTTTATTGGGACAGCTGGCAGACACACTTGGGCAGCTGCTTGAAGACCTCATCCACCTGGTTCAGAGCACGGTCGGCGCAATGGCGGCGTGTGTGCCCTCTGTGGGGCTTGGAAGCAGCTTTCATCTGCCACTCGGTCGAACTTCCAGAAGTACAGGCTCCACGAGCACCGATGGAGCTCGGCGGCAGGGTGCACTCAGAAGAGCTACAGTTGTGCCCTCAGCGGGCTCACTCAATGGTGCAGCTTCCAGCTCTTTCAAGAAAGCCCCGCAACTGCCTGAAGGGGAACATCATCCGGGTCTAAGGAACACTGGAAACACTTGCTACTTCAACAGTGTGCTTCAAAGCTTGGCCTCGGTCCCTGCATTGGGTCACTGGTTGGAGCACTTGGAGAACGAGGCTGAGAGATGGGACGTGCCTACACCGGTTGCTGATGCGCTCAAGGAACTCATTGCGGGTGAATTGTCCGTATGCATGCGCACCCGGCGCCGACTGACATGAAACTTTGCATTTCGTGTGTCACTTCGCGCAGAGCTCAACACTCCCTTGAAACAAAGGCGAGCTCTTCTACCCGATCAGCTCACCTCGGCTCTTCAGTCGGCGCCTGACTCGATGGCCGTCCGAGCACTTGTAGGCGCGCACGCTCAGCAAGATGCGCACGAATTGTTCGTTCTGCTCCTGTCTGCTCTTTCGGACGAGGCCAAGTCAATAGAGCAAGAACAAGCACTCCAAATTCAAGATCGTACGAGAGGCTTGAAAGGCCTCATGGCACCTACTCTGAGAGCGTTCGCTTCGGGTCAACACAACGGTCATGCGACAGGCTTGATCCGGGAAGAGGCAGAAGCGGGACCATCTCAGCCCAACCCTTTTCAGGGACTGGCCGCTCAAAGGACTGCGTGCTACACATGCGGATACGTCGAGGCAGTCAGGCACACGACGTTCGAAGAACTCAACTTGACCGTACCTACGTATCGCGCCTGCAACTTGAGAGACTGTTTAGCTAATTGGACAGAGATCGAACACGTCGACTGGATCTGCTGGCGATGCACACTGCGCGCTACCAAATTTAGGCTGGCGGAAGAAGTTGCCAAGCTGGAAGCTGTTGCAGAGAGCAGCAGAGCCGGGAAAAAGGCGCCCATGAATGCAGCAAAAAAGAGGAGGCTCAAAGAAGCGAAGAAGCAGGCAGCTCGAGTGGAGAGCGCAATACTCTGTGGAGAGCACGAAGATGAGTTCTTGGATCCCTCGATGGGTACTGAATCGCAAGCAGCCACGAGCTCGGGTGCAGAGATCAGACTCCAGCGGACCATGTCGAGAGCAGCTACGAAGCAGGTCATGCTAGCTCGTCCACCTCCCGTGCTAGCCATACATCTCAACCGCTCTAGCTACTCGGCAGCTTCCTTTGGGGCGAGCAAGAATGATGCTCTGGTGCGCTTCCCCGAATATCTGGATGTGGGCGATTTCACTACGGGAGGCAAGCTGAGTGTCCAAGCCGACGAGCCCATTTCGGAGCGTGCAGAATACCTGAATGGCATGCACGACGCAGAGGAGGCGTCATGGAACGTGAATGAGACTGCTTACACGAATGGCAGCGCTGTGAATGGGCACGCCAGTCGAAAATCTCAGCAAGGCTTGGAGGCTTACGAAGCGCCGAGGACAGTGTACAGACTGGAATCGCTAGTTGTTCACTACGGCGGTCATTCGTTTGGGCACTACGTCTCTTATCGACGACGCCCAAGGCGAAACACTAGGAGTTCTGCTTCAAAGCTAGACGCAGATACAACGGTCTCTTCCTGGTCTTCCTCTCAGCACTCTTCGGATAATTTGGAGTGGCTCCGAATTTCAGATTCCTCGGTGGAAGCTTGTCATCTCAACGAAGCGCTCTCCCAGAAT